TATTTCCAGGACTGTGTAAACTGATCATCGGTGGTCGTATTACCTCTGTAAATCTTTTATCCAAATTGATGATAATGTGGTTCAGCCCTATTTCTGAAGAGGATTACATGCTTCGTCAACAGCTGGGAACGTTTTTCAATGTTTATGCATCATCTTTTGCCGGATCCCATTATATGTTTCAACAAGCATTTTTGCCAACACTGAAGACGCTGTACGATGCTCCGATGGACAGTCCTTTACATGAAATTGATCCTGATGATGTAGCCAAGTTATTGATTAATCTAATACTTGTCAGAATGAACAAGGAAAAGGTACTCCTTTGGCTACAGCTTCAATCTCAATGGGTTTTTTTCTCTCTGCAAATTGTAATTTAAGATTCCCCATGAACTATTTTAATCCTTGAACTGAATTAATGGTAGGCTCATATCATGTTAAAATTTGTTTCAAAGTGTTTTTAAACTTAAATAAGCTCTTTAAGATTTCTTCCAGGCGTGCCAAAATTGCTCAATCCCACACCTAAGTGGATGCATGAAAATGTGGAAGGAGGGACGATATTTAGAGGTCAGAAGTCGAAAATCAAAGGAAATAAGAAACAACAAACAAATTTGCCCAGCATTTGTAGCGATTAGAAAATTGTAAATTCGAAATTTTTCAACACCCTTTGAAAAACGTGGCGACTCTTTTCTTTTGTTTAAAAAATGTATGTGCCTCTATTCAGTTCACTCCTTATTTTTCAGGGACCCAATCCGCATAATAGCCTTGCCTTAGCCATTTGCAAGGAAATTCTCAACACATATGGTGCAAATCTTGGGAATGTCCCTGTGCTTGTAAGATCTCTGTTACCCCTTCAGTTGTCCTATGATGAACCGGAGTTTCGGGAGAATTTTGAGCATTTGTGCCGTCAAGTTTTCGAGGTAATTTCAATGTATTGCTTTCTGTCTATTATTTTAGTGTATTTTCCAAAAGAAATACACTGTTGTTTTGCCCATGTCGGACCTAGACGAAAGACCACATTATGAACATCGATCATTGGTCTTAGATGATGAATATGCACACGGTTTCGAATCATGGTGTCTTGTAAATATTTTTGTGTGCAAAATGCAATTTTTTACGAGATGATGACCATCTTTCAATTTTTTGCACAAATTGTGTACTGTGCAAGCGAGAAACCTAGTTAAGGAGAGTTAAGTGTGGACAGAGAAATCTGGTACCACTGGTTTTGCTCTTAGTAGAGCACATCAGGTGACCTGAAATTAATTTTTTGGGTACTTGATGAAATTTGAACGTATTGTGTTCAGATTTTCTTGGTCCTTCGTCCTTTTTTCATCTTATCTCAGTTTTGAATCGGCAAAAATATAATGTTGTACACACTAATCGATTGGAAGTTGTACGCTCAGTTGAATGCAAAGTACCAATCAAATGTATCCAAAAGTCATGATTTTTTTACAGTTATCAGGCATTTTTGGGTGTCTGTAAATATCTGCTAATAACTTGCGTAAATAAATCCTAACCAAGGAATAACTTTGCACTTATGTTGGTAAGTACGTGTTAGAGAATAAAAAATATTAGTGTATGAATGGAAACAAGAAATACATTTTTGGGTATTTGATAAAATGTGAAGAAAATATATTTAAATTTTATTGATTCTTTGTCGGTTTTTTATCAGAATTTTTCAACGTTTGAGACTTTGGCCCCCTACCTATTCCCCTCCCCCCATAAAAAAATGATGGACTATGAAACTTCAGGAATTGATGTCACAAATCTAGCATGTGAAAGCTTCCTCAAAAAACGCAAAAGCAAAATACTTTCTGCACCGCTGCAGTATCACTTTGTGTTTAACAAATAACTTTTTTAACTCAAATAGTATATTGTATTTTTTTGGTTTAAATTTTTTTTGAAACTGAACAATGCAATTTTTTCCAGCTTCTGGAAGATGCGAACAATAAAATACTAGCAAAGTACATGCAGAAAGTCATTTACAGAATTGAAGCGGCGGAAGTGAAGGATGGCACACAGCAGTCTGATATTATGAACACAGAACTGCCGTCTGAAACAACTGCCAGCAATATGAACACTGCCAAAGATTCACCTAACGCTGTAAGTAAATACAAATCTACTTAATGCTGCATGGAGTTCAGGAATTGGGTTTGTAGTAGAGGTGTGCCATCAAAGAATTTTAGGTCGCATTGAAATTTGATGTAGATTACCATTGGAAAAATTCATTTGCCTTTCTTTTTCCCATGTCCTATTGCACCTTCACTCCATGGCT